GATCGGAACCGAGTTGTGGATTGATTGTGTCCAATATGTGACGATCTAGAACGCCCACAAACGAGGCATAGGTGTTTGCAACCGATCCCTGGGATGCAGTGATCAGCATGAGCGAAATTAGCAGCAGGGATTTACAATTCACCAGCATTTGTGAAGGAGAGATGAAGTGTAGTTGGAAAACTGGTTTACAGTTCGCCTATTTATAGAGAGATAGTGTCGTAAAACTGGAACTGGAATGTGGAAAGGTGGAACGGTGAAAGTAGATTTACCCCTGACGAGCAGGCACGCATACACACACACACACGAAACTAGTTATCAGATGAATCACGATTTGACTTGAGATCAAGATTAATCTGACTCATCCCCCGGGGGGGGGCTCACAACCACATCAGATTTCTCCGTGATCTCAAATCCACTTCCCTTGACCGGGACTTCGTCACATCAAGGTCACTCGGAGACATTTCACACTCTCTCGTCATCACTGCAATGCACACCTATCCCAACATTGGTTTCTTACATCCAGAAATTGGAAACGACACGCCAAACACGTACTTATGTGAAACTTGTATCTTAGAGGGAGGCACAAGGTCGGGGATAGCTGTGAGAACAAGGCGTTACCGCCACTTGTGAGCGGGATGCACCTGACGGGCGGTCACGTTTCTCGTCTCGTGTAAAAAATAATTTGGGAAGTTAATCCACCTCACCCCACCCTCGCGAACTGCTCTCTGCGCCACGTGATTTCGCGAGTAAACAGTTTTCCTCTCATTGATTCCACAATCCACAACTTTCTATTTTAATTCCATCTAAACCCCGGTTGCATCTACTTTATTCGGTTATCCAATGAGCCAGCCCTGTTCCATTTACATTCGGAGTCAAGATCTTTTGAGAATTTAAGTTTAGATGTTAAATGTCCCATAGAACACACAATGAGAAAAAAATTGGCTTCCTAATCATACCATTACAGCACAGTATGTACAATATGCAATAAAACCTCATTTGCACCTCGAGGAGTGGATTTGAGATGAACAAGTCTTGAGCCATCATGGCAATAATTCTGTATCATGTGTTGTGGGTTAGATATGTCTAACCAAGGGCAGTTTTCAGTGTATTTATAATGAGTATTTGTATGAATAAATTACCGAATAGGCATATGTGACGAGCGACAAGGACCGCAAAACCGGTGGTGTAATTCTGGGAAATTTTGTCCAACCATTCATATACTACTGATTATAAACCACTGAAAACCGGCAACTTACTGAATCCACTATTCTGTAAGGCATATTTGATATCCTTGAGTTCATAATATTGACTGACATTTTATTTAAACAGCCCCACGGAGCATATAATGAGAACGTAAATTGGCAAACGAGCTCGTCATTTTAGTGCATCTTATCCATGGCACTACAACACAATATATATGACCAGTAACAGATAAATATTTAAGAGGGAAAAACGAACGTATTCAAAGTCTTGACCAATTAGTATCATAATTGGTCCCCAATTATCTATGCTCGGATGTCTCGTGACGAGCCACTTGTCGGCATTCCGGCCATGGAAGCTTGAGTGCTTGCACGAATTGTTTTTGAGCACACAGAGGGTGTGTGTGAAGACGGATACCCACAGCTTCCGCTGTGGCTAGAATGCTGAATCACCCGAATGAAGACCGTACCGTTTTAACTGTAGACAAGTGTCGGAACGTTTCGGTCATATTTACGATGGGATTAGTGTCGACAAGGTGTGATGCGTCATAATTTGCTCCACAGAAGCAAATGAAAGAGTAAATACAGAAAGAGGCGGCAGAATCGGGCACTCTATCCTTCAACCGTAGATACACCAACAGGTTAGATGTGAATCGAGTTTGGAGTCAAGTTGCATTGAACGTTTTATTGACAGCCCCGGATAGCCATTTATGCGCAATCACTGCCAAGGTGTCACCTTTAAAAGGCAAAGAAATGCACACATACTTTTTCTAAGCAACGACCCTCTTGGGAAACATCTCTTGTCGTTGCATCACAGATTCCACCAAGCGCTCCGGGATGAAGATATTCCACACATTTTGGAGTTCTTCAACTAGCATGTCCTTCGTGCAAATTTTTCTAGCTCTGTTGGCCAAACAGATTAAGAGATTATTCATCATAATGAATGGTAAAACACTACGGAAATGAATGTACTGCCCATTCCACGTCAGTTCAAGTCAGGTTAGGTCAGAGGACTGGCGGCTGGTGCCAACGAGAGTCCAATTTCTTTCGCAAGCGAGCTCTAATGTTCTCGATGCGCTTCGGCTGACCATCTGATCGACCCATCATCACAACTAACTAGGCAAACATCCAGATATTTTAACTTATTCAGCTGTGTACATGAACATTCATGTGAAAGTTCGATCAGAACAATGACAAATGTTTAAACATCAAAAACACTCCAATGGTAAAATCAGTGCGACGGTCAAAGGTCACCAGTCACTCTCAGGTTGAACAGAGGGAAAGGGTGGGAGAACATGTTTATCGATCGGAATCAAGGTGACAGCCCTACCATGAAAGGGTGAGAGTGGCCACAAGTTCTAATTGCATGTAGAGGTCTGATTTGTGACGCCGAATGGCTTTGGCCTCAGCAAACCGTAACAACCGCCCAGTTTTCGCTTGTTTTAACACTCGAAATGCTTGCTTTGGATCGGTGCAGAATTTGCAATCCAATATGTGGCGGCCGATAGAGTTGGAGAGAATCTTCGAGCCGTTGAGCGCTAAATTTCCCGGGACATGTGCTGAAATCCGAGGGGCCAAACGTCTCCCGGTTCTTCCAATATACTTGCTAACGCAAGTGCCCTGAAATAGATAAACACAAGAGGAGATAACCTGAGAGTTCAGTTTGTCCAAGTTGGATTCCATGATCATTCGTCTGCTTTTATACAGAATAATTAGCGAAGCGGCGTTGTGCATTATTGAAAAAGAGCTTGTTTCATTCGACGTTCTGACAGTTTCTCAGTATGTTCACTTTTGAAGGGTAATGTAATGAGAAAGTTTTCCTTCGGTACGTCGTTCCAATCATTAACCATGTTCTCCCAGCCTTTCGGCCTGTTCATCCTGAGAGTGACTGGTGACCTTCGCATTGATTTTTCCCAGTCGAGTGTTTTGATGTTTAAAGATTTGTCATTGTCCTGATCGAACTTTCACACGAATGTTCGTGAACACAGCTAAAGAGATCACGTGAAACAGTTGCTTCCAACCTGTATCCTGTGATGATGCTTGTTCTCTCTTTCATGAGGTTTCCCAAGAGGAACTAGACGTATAAAATTTCAACTGACTGTTTGCTTCGTTTTCAATCATGAAGTTCAAATTGCAATTCACAGAATTGTAATGATCTAATCGATGCTGACGCTCCGTGATGGAATCGACCGAGCATAAAGTGTCATTTACATAACTTGTGTACAACACGCATTGTTCGATATGTGCTTCAAGTGGCCGGTTTTCTATGCTGATCATGTAAACATCAGCAGGTAAGTGGAGACCTCATTGTGCTACACAGTCCTTCTGGCCATGGATTTCCTCAGTGAAATTAAATTGCACATTATGAGTGCAGAAGAATGGCAACTGTCATCTATCGGTAGGATTACATTAAGCCCATTAATTTCGACATAGCCACACAAATTATCGATTACCTCTGTGATCGGAACATCAGTGAAGGCAATTGTGACATCTAACGTAAACATGTGACTAACTCAAGTCTTCAATGAGACCGATTACATCATTAACGGTATGCTGAGTCATCATCATTCTGACCGGGTCCAGGAGACGAGACGACAATTTAGCCACCGCGTGGGAAAGAGTTGCACATGTCCAGGATCGGCCGGAGGGTAACTTCAATTTTATATACTTTGAAAAGCCCATACAATCGTGGAATCGTAGTGTCTTTTGGACGAACCTGTTCAAACGCGGCGGTAACTATATGGCCTTTTTGTTGTTCAAGAAAATGCCTTCTCTATTTGGGATGTCTTGTCATTGTCGTGGAACATTTGTGTGAATATCGATTTATCGTTTATAATCGCTCCCACCTTTCGAACGTAATCTGATGTATTAAGTATAACAATACTGGATCCCATGTCTGGTTTCGGTATGACCACCTCCGTGCTCTTTATATGCTGTTCGGTTACATTTTTTAGTTGATAATTTGCCACTCTGATATTGATAACACTTGTTCACCAGAGTAGACTTAGGCTTGCAACCGAGATGAGGTTCGACCCCATTATCCAACGGTCATTGTCCACATTTATATCCTGGCATGGTAAGTGGTTTATCAATTCAAAATATAGCTACTTACTTCCTTACGCCTCAGACTGAGATGAATCACCGTCAGTTCCGTTCATATTCTTCAAAAGCTTACTTGATTAGTGGTCAAGAATGATGTTCCGGATAAACAAAAACCGACCCCACTAAAACTCACTCACGAAATACTTCTTTTCGTATTCAACTCAGTTACTTGTAAGTAGTGTGTTGTGATATAAGTTATATCGATGTGCACTGATCATCCCTCTCGGACTTTATCTTCACGCGCAGAACTCAGTTCATCCAGTCAACCATACAATCGGAAACACTAGATTCGAGTTTCGATCTTATTAGACCTCATCAGTGGTACATATGCACCGAATAAACAAACTCCTCTTCAGATAGTCATTCACTTGGTATGCCGCAAAATGATAGGGGAGGGGAGCCTACATAAATGAATCACGCGATCACCTTCAGTGTCATCAATGACTTGTCAATTGACCTCGCCAAAAAGGAATCTATATTACTCTTCACGATCTTTACTGGCCAGGTTTCGATTCAAATTGTCCTACTGTTTGTGACCTTTGGTAAGCAAACAGTTGACTAATAGAAAGCTGAATACGATAGAAATCTTTGTGATGAACGACAGAGAAAACTTGACAGCGGTTACGTCGTTTGGAACGTGGTAGCACTGTGTGCTTTTTGTGTCTTCGTGCCAGGACTCAAACCGAGAACCTTCGGGTTGGAAGTCGATACTCTTACTTCCGAGCTGCACGGTCGACGTTCATCGCCTTGTTCGAATGGATCAATAAATTTAGCCGGTGATTGTTCGGATGAGCCTAATCGGTTTTGGTCACAGGCAACAAGCACTTTCGCCGATGATCTTTACTCAAAAAACAGGAGGCAGCTGTCCACTACTCTTTGTCGGTCATCACATAGTTTTCTATCGCATTTATATAGACTAAAAGGAACCCCTTAGAATTCTTATTCAGAATGCCTCAAAAGATCGTTTTTGCAAACTTTGGCATAGAGATCACCAAACGTGATGGGACCATCAAAACTTTGTGTGAAAGGGTTAGATAAGGCACGTGGGTTCCCCTAAAATATTCTGGGTTTATTTGTGCCGAATATAACTGATTTTCTTCCGATTATTAGAAGAAAATCTCTTCTGAACCGATCCGATTTGAAGAAATTGCTCTGCGCACCTCTTTTCGCATTTTTTCGATGATTGAGACTTGATTTCACGAGCAACAAAAACGGTCAACCTTCCTCGACAAATGCACAGTCGACTCGGGAGCAGGAGTGTGTAAATGAGTCTGCGAACTGTTATCGTATCTTGTTATTTGGCAAAGGTTCGTCGGATAAAAGTGAAAATGAACCGCAGCTGAATTCTCCACTCAATAGTGTGTCCGATTTGATGAGTCAATTCGCACGTCGTTGCACGACTGCCGGTATTTACGTATTTCTCAGAATTCGCTTGCGCTACTCACGAGTAACCATAATGATCTAACGAAAAAGTGCATTAAACAAAACACATGAAGTTCAACGAGAAGCACTAGCGAATTCGCTCGTTTTACGAGTCCGAACTATTTAATAGACTTAGGCCGAGACTGAGACCATGAATCTAGGGCTAGAGATTAATTGTCCGTACCCCTCGGTTACAGAATTGACGACGAATACGATGAAGGTTTGACGGCATTAATTAAACGTGAGTTCTGAAAATAAATCAATACAAATAATCTGGTATCTGTGAGCTTGTAAGGAAATTGGGCTGAAACTTTTCTTCATGAAAATTAATATATTTATACGAAAGCGTTCACTGATCTATCCTCCTGTCATAGGAGGACGTGGGACGTTCCATGCACCATATGCCAGAGCATCATCCATGGCTCTAGAGCAAGTGCCTTTGGACAGTTCAAAATAGCACTGTTCCCGCGCTTGCTATCACAGCGTTCGTTCGGCGACACACGGAGTACGCTGTTCAAGTATGGGATCCCTGGTTGAACCGTGACAACAAGGCTCTAGAACGTCTGCAACCGTTGGCAACAAAAATGGTATATGTATAACAAGACAAACTCCGAAAAGCAGCAAATATTGGGTCTTTACTCGTCTTAGTATCGTCGATTTCGGAGGGCTCTAATCTTGACATACCACAAACTGCATCAACCCAACCACCCTTTTAGTTCTGTATTAATTTTATCTCGAAATAATCATCTCAAGGGACATCCATTGAAGTTTTGAATTTTGATTGCCGGCATCACACGTTTGCAGTCAGTGTGTGGTGTGAATGGCGTCGTTCTCTTCCGTTACATGTTGTGTGCTCCTACAATAGAATTGTTCACCTTGATAGAGCCTTGGAACACATAACATTTCAACATCTTGTGGTACCTCCGAACCATACTCGCTGTACATCACTCGAAATATATAGGGTATGCATAAGAAAGTGTTAACATAGGCTTGACTGATTTGTTCACTACATCCGGACGATACTCACGGACCACTTTGTGATTGCAAAATTGGTCATCCAGAATCAACGAAAAGCCATGACACTGTGTTAAGTGAAATGCGTGAGTAATGCGAGTTAACCATCTTTGGTGGTGATGCTGGTGCAATGCTTTAATCGCTGTCACCGGTATGCTGTGGTTCGAAGTTCGAAAGCAACCACCACCACCCTACTTTAGTGGTGAACAACTTTGCTGTCATCCGGTTCCATACTACGCCTAACCCAATAAGGGTTTATGTGATTCATCACTCCAAGTCCCGGGGCATAGGTTGTCGGTTTCCATCACTGAACAGTAGGTCCGCTTGCGGATCGCGGTTGTTTTTAGGCAATTGGTGATCTAGAGTGTAACAAGTGTCAAGCTTTCTTGTGAACTCTCGATCCAACAGACATCGAGGCATTATCGAATCTGAGAGTCGCTTTTTCGGTAAACTCATTTGTTGCACTGGAAGACAAAGGAACGTGCTGTCATGATGATGATAATTCAAACGGTTTTCTACATTGTTTCTCCTGATTAAATGGTTGTACCAATAGTTTCTCCCAAGGAGAGCGTAAACGATCAATCATGACAGAGAATTCTTTTCGATTACTCATTTTCAAGCTTCTACATTAATATATGATCACAAGATGGCATCGAAAGTCATGATTTATAAAATAAACCGGGGTGGGGGAGGTGGTTACAGATTTGTAATCACTTGATTAAGCAGATTACGTAACACACTCATTCAGTCATCGTTGGATTTGTGAACAACGGTCAATTACGTCATATTGCCGAGCTATCGCATAATCAATATGGGAGCGATCCGCTTTTGTTTGCACAGTTCGGGCTGGTGGATACGAATAGCCACCGCCTCGGCCGTGCAAAGCATAATCTGCCGCAGCAGTTTGGTCAAATGCATTGGGGTTCTGTAGATGACCTTAAATGGCCTTTCAACATCTACCGTATGCTCCGTGTTGATAAGATGCTCCACAACTGGGCTACGAATGGCCTTTGATAGTCCTTTTCTCAACCAGGCCGGGTGATGCTCTTGAATCAGTTTAGTCAACTGCCAACTGATACGACCGATGTGGCCGGCTCCACATGAGCACGTGAAATGATAGACACAGAAATGGTTGACAGTGGCAATCGATCCTTAAGTCTCTGAGCAATGACCGGATAAAGATTGGATCCTAAAAC